TTTTTTTTTTTTTTTTTTTTTTTTTAGAAACAGGCTTTAATAGTCACCTAAATATAGTTTCTTCTTGTTTTTTATGTGCTAATTAATATAGTGGCTTGCTTCCAAAAATCACATCAAGAAGGAAAAAATAAATCAATTTATGACCAGACTGTCATGATCAGAAGGAGTTAAATTTCATCAAATAGGAAAGACTCCACAGTGCTCCATACATTTACTCTTTACCACCCTCAACAAATGACTCATAGCTGCATTTTCATCAAGGCACGCTGATGCCAAAGACATGAATGTCTTAAAGAGGCAATAACATAAAAGGAATGGGTTAACAAAGAAGATAGATTACATCCAGGTTTCCGAGGAATCATAACCAGCCACACAAAGACATTAAATGCTGTGGAAATTAAAAAACAAACAAACAACAACAACAACAAACCAAAAAGAAAAACAAACAAAAAAAAGTGATCATGCCCTTTCCATGATTACAAACACTATTAAAAATCAGATTACTTTTGCGATGCTAAATACTTCTAAAGGGTTTTTGCAAAAGGAAAGGCAAAGACTGGACATGGAAAGGAGAGAGCAGAAAATTAATTTCATATGACAACTTGAAGCATAGAAGCTTTTCTCTGTAGAACTCTGTGGAAGAGTATCTGTAGTAGGGAATTTACTCCTTAACCCTGATAAATATGTGAACAGAGTCACAGCAATATTTTAAAATGTGTACTTTTGTGAGGATAAAAGTGACATGGCCTTCCTCTCATTGAAAGAAATAAGGATTTCTTTCCTAACTGGACACTGAGGATATGTAGCAGCCCTTGGAAAACACACAGCATCCAGAAACTCAGGGAGTTGCATGCACCAGGAAAAACAAGGATTTACAAGAAAGGCTTCTCTGGGGGGACAGTGACTGGAAAGGATGCAACAGCATTCATGTAAGCCCTCACAAAATGGGAAAGCTTTGCAAACATTTCAAACTGGGTAAGGTTCTGCTGCTTGAGACAGACAACATAACCAAGACAGCATTAGCTCTGAAGAATAAAGCTGTGCTCAGCTATGGACCTTTGCTATGGAAAGCAACCTTCTTAGCTGACCTTTGCTCAGTTATGGAAAGCCATTTCCCTCTGTCCCAGCTCATAGAGACAAGAGGCACAAATTTGTATCCTGCTATTTGTCATGTCATGGTTTAACCCCAGCTGGCAGCTCAGCACTACAGAGCCACTCACTCACTCATTTCCCAGTGGAATGGGAGAGAGAATCACAAGAGTAAAGGGCAGAAAACTTGTGGGTTGAGATAAAGACATTTTAATAGGTAGAACAAAACCCACAGGTACAAGCAAAGCAAATCAAGGAATTCATTCATCACTTCCTATGGGCAGGCAGGAGTTCAGCCATATCCAGAAAAGCAAAATATATATACTACATAGTAAAATCAAATATATATTATAATATAGACTGAAATATAATATACAGCAAAGTAACATCCCTATGTTATCAAGACTGTTTCCAGTACAAATCCAAAACAGAGCTCCCCATTAGCAACTATGGAGAAAATTAACTGTATCCAGCCAAAACCAGAGTAAAAAGATGGTGTATTTGGGGTTTTTTATTATCATAACTCATAGCACTTGAATAAATGGAGAATGAGCCTGAGACATTGAAAGCATAGTGTGCTTGGCTTCTAGACTTTACTGCTTGTTGCAATTTGTAGTTGAACACTGAGATAGTAACTAAAGGGAAGTAAGGTAAGACAAACTTGCCAGGGAAGGTGGTGGCCATAGCACTCAGTGCAGTGGAACCATCCCTGCAAGTGCCTGCGTGGAGGTCTCCCCATCTTGCTCTCCTGCTCCTGATTTTTCTCCCTCTATCAAAGGACTTGCCCTGATAGAGGAGGCAGGGAAATGTTTGTAGGACCCCAAAGGCAGAGAATAAGAAATCGAGTCTCCTGACGAGTGAGCTGCCAAGCTTTTGCCTTTGGCCTCCCTTCAGCAACCTCATTGAAGAGTTGCTGAGGCAGTGAAGGGGCCCCTGTACCCCCAGTCTGGCTGGTGTCCCTGTGCAGCCCCTCACTGCCCTGGCATCCCAGCTCAGCCTCAGCCCCCACGCAGACTGAGAGGTGCCCACTCCCACCGACAGCTATTTGCTGCATCCCTGCTCAGGGATTTGCCCTGCAGCAGCTGCATCAACCGTAATCACTTATCTGTGAATAGTTATCTTGTCCCTATTGGGGTACCTGTCTGTTGTCTTGACAAACCAGCAGTGCTATTGAAAAAAAAAAAATCCTGTTTAATACATTTATGAGTGTAGTCAGTTGCTATATCTACAATGCTTTAGAATATTTTAATATTCCCCATAACATCTCTCTTTATTTTCCCACTGGCTTTTTTGCTTTTTGTCTCTGTCTATGTCCTTTCCTCTGAGCAGAGCTTGGAGACCCAGCTGGAGTGCTGACTCCTGAAGCCTTCTTAGGTCTCACAGAACATTGCACTTGTAAAAATAATACCAGGGACAACATGTTTAGCTGGTAGAATTCTGCCTTGGGGCCATAAATCCTGAAATATTGAATAGGCAGTGATTTGGCCCAAAAACATCTCTTGTTTCTGGAGTACGCTCTTGTCTAGGCATGAAGATCCTGCTGAACCACTCACAACTTTCCCAAATGTCTCCTTCTTGCTGTAGCAATGCCTCAGCACTGATTTGAAGCCAAAACTACACACGAATAAAATCTGAACACACCAGAGAATTCAACTTATCTCCTAAATCTTCAAGGAGGAACTGGCAATTTCAGCCATCTGCCCCACTGTCCCAGCTCTGCCCTGCAGCATGCCCAGGCTGTTCCACCATGGGCTGCAGACATCCAAAATCAGATTACAGAGTCAGCAAGTAGAACAGGAGTCTACAATCCATGCCCATGCTTGGGCAAAGGGAACAAATCATGTAGATTGGGTTTTTTTCCCAGCCTTTTAAATGTTTTTGGAATAGAAAAGCAATCAGAGCAAGCTACTGGTCTGCACCACCAGTAGATCGACCTTGGAGACCAGGTCTCCCAGTCTTGATTTCTGTACTATGTCTTACTTGATCTATTTTTTTTAATTTGTTTATTTTTAATCTTCTGAGATTAGGATTTTTTGGTTACCATAAAGGTCATCTTTGAAACCTAATTGTCATAGCCCAAGGTGAATCATCCTTAGTGTAAAAATTTGTGATATACAAATAATTTTGCCTTGAGCACATATCTTGGGAAAGCCAGATTGTGCGGTATCTTTTATTCTTTGTGAGTGAAGGTTGGGTTTTGGCAGATCTATTACCACTTCCGTTCCATGAGTAGAATATTTATGAACACAGAGTGATTGTTCAAATTGAAAAATCTACCGTAGTGTAACCCCATGGACTGAAAGCTCACGGAGCTGTGTAAATATGGCAAGCATTCCAGGCATTTACTTGACATATCCCATAGTTTAAATCAGTTTATAAAAAAAAAGGAGGCTGTCCTGTTTTTACACAGATAACAGTGTTCCTGCCACAGAAAGCTCAATGAGGTGGTGGTTAATAGCTGACATGAAGTTGAACAATAAGCTTTCTTAAGAAATTACTAGTCTGAACTCCACAGCACGCTTTTCAAACACCAGCTATGATTATTGTTTCAGAAATAAGTTACCCTACTGGGCATGGAGGAGGATAATTTCAGAGTACTTTGCAAGCCTATTGAGGTTGGCAACTGATAGGCTTGCCTAACTCCTGGGAGGTGTCTCAAAGAATGAAGGTGCTGTCAGAAGGCAATTTAAATAGCATGAGAGAGAGTTATAATACCAAGGAGAAACTTATAATGCCAATTTGAGAATGTGGCTCATGATCTTGTGTCATAGCAATGAGAAAGGGAGTGTACAACCTGATGGAGCTTCAGTAGTAGGTGGAAAGGGTGAGAAACTGGGTTAGAAGACCCAGGAAGGTGCAGCTGTAGTCCTAAATCCAGCTGGACGCAGAGATGATAAAATCTTTGAGGGACTTTTTTTTAGGGGTTGGGAAGAAGTTAATTTATTGTCTTGTAAAATTGCTACAAAAGTATGCCAAGAGCCAGTCTGGGTTGTCCTCCTCACTTCTTTCCCTCCCCTCCCAGTCGTGGCTGCCTCCCCCGGAATGGGAGAGAAGCCAGGACCTGCTCAGTGTGGGTGCAGAGGGAGATATGTGACTTCATTAATTTGCTTGAGTGAGATTAACTAGGAGACCTTCCCAGCCCAGCCACAAAGCTCACATGACCAGAAGCTTTTTCCCCTAGTGGGAAAATTGTACTTTGTTGTAGTCCAGTCAGATTGGGTACCCTCATGGCTGCTGCCAAAGAAACTGTGCCTGTTGAATCTAAGCATTGTATTTCACCTGTCACAGTGATGTCTGTCAAAACATTTAACCTGACAAGTCCTGAAAACTCCCCACTATGTATAAATCGATTATGGGGTTGAGCAGATGCAAAGAAAATGTCAGTTACTTGAAATTCTATGCTACTAACCCAGGAACACTGACAGGGCTTGGTGCCAGGTCTTTAACCAGCTGACAGGTAATAATAAGCAACAATCCAGCTCCACTGACACGTTTCAAGGCTGGTGATCTAATGAACTGCAGAGATGTCATTCAAGGATAAGGATATCTTTCTGAAAAGCACGAGCTGAAAACAAACAGGATGAAAACTGCTGTAAAACACACTTGAGCCAAACCAAACCTCAGTGTTATAATGGGAATAGTTGGCTAAAGAAGTAGGTGTCACTGAAATATTTTGGGGTCTCCAAACACTGATCTTCCAACTGAAAGCTTAGTTGCTACAAAGCTATGCATAGGACTTATTTCCAAAAAGTCATCCGCAGTGGTGTGTTTGTAGGCTTTTAAAACCATCACCCCCAAACTGTAGGGATTCAGTGATCCTGGAGGTTAACTGTGAGTGGGGAGATATTTCTTCCGGGAGACTTCCAGTGCCCTCAGCAACTTTCATGTGCATGTTGTTTTCCCTGTGGCAGAACACCATCACAGAAGAAAAAGTTCAGAGGATGAAGGAGCAATTCATGTCTGTCTACGATGTCACCACAGATGGACGCTTGCAAATCCAGGAGGTATCTCTGCCCAACCCCAGCTCAAGATTTCTTTTATAGCAGGACGGAGAATTAGAATAAACTTTTTATAGGGTCTGCAGCAATAGGACAAGAGTAACGGTTTTGAATTAAAAGAGGGTAGGTTAAGACAAGATATAAGGAAAACTTTTTTTTATGAGGGTGGTGAAACACTGGAACATATTGACCAGAAAGCTGTAGATGCCCTATCCCTGGACACATCAAAGGTCGGGTTGGACAGGGCTCTGAGCAATCTGATCTAGTTGAAGATATCCCCCCCCACGGAAAAGGAATTGGATTAGATGACCTTTAAAGGTCCATTCCAACTCATACCATTCTATGATTAGGAGCTATAGCAGACCTGGAAGATCAGGAAGATAGAGTCTGTGTGGGGAGGAGGTGAGTCATGGAGTATACTATATTATCCAGATGTCTTGGTCTAGACTTTATTTCCAAGGGAGAAACATGTCCAACTTACATTTCCCATACTATGTCAGCAGCCACCCCAGTTTTTTCTTTTCATTACTTTCTTAGTGTGGGTTTGTTGTGTTGCAGGCTTTTTTTTTAATGCTTTTTTTCCAGCTTGCCAGTATGATCTTGCCGGATGATGAGAACTTTCTACTGCTTTTCCGACGGGAAACTCCCTTGGACAACAGTGTGGAATTCATGCGGGTCTGTATCTCCACACTGCCTCTTCCCTTGCACACTAACAGCTTCCTCAATACCAACCCTTCTACCCACTGCAGAACACAGTATGGGAAATAGATGGATATTGTGGAAGCAAAACACGTACTGACCTGTTCAGGTAGAGAAGATTGTACATTGTTTACACCAGCAAAACGGAGATATGGTAGCCAGGACTGGACCAAGGGTACTCATTAAACTTTTCAAATGCTCTCAGCCAGCTATCAATCAAGCCACCAGAGACAAAACCTCCCCACTGATAAATCCACTGCTCTTGGGAGCTACGGCAAAGCCACAGCTTTGCCTCACTTGCAGCACAGCAGAGACCAAGAAGGCAGACCAGGCACATTTTAAGCACTATATTATCCTGAAACAGTAGCCTGTCAGGCATGGAGTGGAAACCTCAAGTGAGGATCACAAGCCCATATAACCTTGCCCAATCTCCCTCTAATCTCTGCCTCTAAGTATCCCAGCACAGAACTTCAATTTTTCCAAGACTTCTTTCGATTACTTTTATTTCACATGCAAATTGGGAGCTTCTGCAGATCGATGACCATTTGTGTATGGCCTTGACTTTTACTCAGAGCAATAAAAGGAACTGCATGTACAAATTAGGTAAGAAATGCGGAGCAGTTTCTTAGGCTTTTCTTCCTTTTACAGACAGTGTGTCTGCATTAAACATGTGATAGCAGCATGTCACATGTACAGCATCCAAGTGTGAGTAAAAGCTATTGTGTGAAAAGTTTATTGTATTTAATTTACAATGAATTATGTGTTGGATAATGCAACAGCTTGCTCGTTATGGAAGTTCTGATTTGAATTTTTACAATTATCACTCGAGCAGATGATTAGCTGCAATATTTATGTGATTGTATCAATTTATCCCTGTTCAGATCTGGCGCAGTTACGATGCTGACAGCAGTGGATTTATTTCAGCTGGTGAGCTCAAAGTAAGTTATTCTAACAAATCTCTATGGGTTTGATCTACAGCTCACTGATGTCAATAGGAGCCTTTCTGTCAGCTTTACCAATTTGCTGCCTTTCTGTGTGGTTCACAAATGGCATTTCTAGGTTGTTAATAGCGAGTTGAAGGACTCACGCCTTCTGGCATGGTGTCAGGGGGGACCCTGCAGGAGGGAGGATGCTCTGCTGTTGCCCTTGATGTCTTGCCTTGTCCCTTGACCCCACTTGGTAACCCTGAGGCACCCAATGAGTCCCACAAATGCTGTCTCACCTTGACATCTCTCAGCTAAACAGAGCCAAAAGGTTTCTTTACAATCTCTTCCCGAGCCTGCAGATTTTCTGATTTCTCATTAAAGCTCAGGCTGTTGAGGCGAGAGACAGTTCATAAACAGTAACTCAAACACTTTGAGTCGACTGGGCACAAAAGTCCATCCCTGGGCTGCAGACCATGTGCTGAAATCTCAGCGTGTGGCTTCAACCTGTGCCCCAGCAAATATATAAGAGGATGTTTAAGTGTTTTGCTGAATGGAAAATATTTTGATTCGAGATCAGTTAGCAAATATTGCATGATTTATCTTATCTTTTGCTTATTTTATGAGTTAATTAAGGATTCATTCCAGTATGCATTCTCTGGGGAAATTTGTTTATTTTCTAATTTATTTGCAAAAATATGTTTCAGCTAAAAAAATATTTGAACTTCATCAAACTGAAGACACTACTACTAACCAGCAATGTAAAACTAGATTTATATAGCTCTGCTAGGTTTGAATTTACTCTAAAATTTATCTCTTTCTTACTACAGGATTTCCTGCGAGATCTCTTTTTGCAGCATAATAAGGTGGTAACTGAAATAAAGCTGGAAGAATATACTGATACCATGGTAAGAAAAGATAATATTGTTTAGGTTAGAGTACTGACTAAAAATCTCCTTCAGAGTCAATGTCTATAGGTCCATAAAAGCCCTCCTAAAACGTGTACCAGAGAACCCTTTGGGAAGTTAACATGCTAAAGCTAACCGTTCTTTACACTGGACATCAGCTGTGAAAGCATTTCAAATAATTTTGGTTTAAGTTGAACTATTCCCTATGAGAAAACAGCTTGACTCTATGCCAAAGAAAGCTGAGCTCTAAACTCCTTTAAAAATAGGTGAGGTGCATCCTTCTTTCAGGTATGTTCAGCCACAGCTAGGTCTCTAGCTCATTCACTCCCTCCTTCCCTCCCTCCTTCCTATCAAATCCTTTTGCTTCCAAGACAAGAAGGTACATAACTTTTCTGCTCTGCAAAGCCCAGCAGGCCTTGCTGGCTCCCTGCTGCTTCCCTGAAAGACTGGGAGTTTGAAAGTTTCAACTATTCCCCTGCCTTATTACAATATAGTTTTTATACTGCAATCAACAGTGTATTATTTGGTGTAAGTTTAGCATCAGTCACCTGGATTTCAGAGCAACTTATTATATCTAAACATCTAAAAAGAAGAAAAAAGGTGGAAAAAAAATATCTCATTTCTGATGTCATTCTCAAGGGTATTATTTGAATTCCACTAGCAGACATCTATCACTGCAATTTTTAAAATTACTTTCAGATGGGACTGCCTTGTTTCTTGGCACAAAATCTGTGTTTGTACCTAAAAACTGGCTTGGTCTGCAAACAAACAAGGAGCTGCCCACATATTTTGCAATACCATGTTATGTATGCATGATGCGTCTGTGTCTAGAAATGTGACCCTTTAGAGCAGTGTGAAAAACTGTACCATTACAGAAGAGTGTTGATTTTTTTTTCTTTCATATTTAAAAGACATTGAAAGGAGAGGAATGTTAGCAACAGAAATTATTTTCCAACTGGCAGAGACTGAAAACAATAAAACCCCAGTAGTTACAGCTAGAACAAAAATCTCCCTGGTAGCATCTGCAGGTAGCAAATAGCTTTCCTGCTGCTCCATTGAGGTTTCCATCTCCAGTGGTTAATCCCTAATCAAGTGCTGGGAAACAGGTGATCTGGAGCTTGTAGACATTCATTTCCTTGGAGGTTCATTTCCTCCAACTTCTTGCCCTTTCCCTTAATTTCCCAAGAAAGATCTGTGATTCTACTACCCCAATGCACTCGGGTATCAATGCAGCCCAGGGCTAAGAGCCAGGACGTCTGGTTTCTATTCCCATGTGTTTTTATAGATTGGCTTTGTATCTTTGGAGAGGCAGTTTAGTCTCTACATCAGAAGATAAGATTTGATCTGGGAAAAAGGATGCTTTGTATATCTGGGGAAATCTGTGATCTGAAATGCAAATCTGGCTCCTGAGGACAAAGGTTTGCAAATCTGCAATGCCAAAAGAACCAGGGATGTTAATGGTTATTAGAAAACGAAGATATGGCAGATAGTTATTTTTATCTTGCAATTCTTTTCTTTAAACTGAAGGTCAATGACGTTTATAAACACATCCAATTCCAAAAGCTAAGGCAGGGTGTGAAATTACCACACACGTAATCACCCTGTGATATTCTGTTGTAAAATAGAGAATACAAATTCAGTGCGCCACAACAAAGTATCCACATGGGCAGTATTTCTATAGTATCAGATAAATTGTGTGAAGTGATTGAGTGGGAACATAGCTGAGCAGAAGGGCAAAATTCCAAGAAGGGAAGGAAGATTCAGCCTTGCATTTGTGGGCTGAATAAAGAGGGAGAAATAACATGAGGAGCAAAGGTACAATGTGAAGGCCCAGGGCAAGACAGTTCTTTGCTTTCTCTCTCTGCATTCCACGTGGAGTGATGAGTCCCACTGGGGCTACCACCAACACCACTGTTTAGGAAAAAGGGGACAGTGGCCCTTCCATTTTATTCCTGAAGCTTTCATAATCTTTCTGTTGTATCTTTAGCAACCAGCAGCACAAATTCTTTTACTGCAGAGTGGACACACTTATATTTCCCTCCCCTATTGCTTCGTTCCCAGACTTTTATCTCTTTAGAGCACAAAGTCCTTGGGATAAGGACCTGTTTCTGCTGCACGCAACTACAGGGTCTCTCAAGGTGGCCCATCCATCCAACTCAGGGCTTTCAAGTGCCACTGTAATAATATGCTGTTGAAATAAGCCGTGTCCCTAGGAGCTGTAAATCCATCTGTCTCCACAGGAATTTACAGATCTCTGCCCTTTTTTCTGTACATACACAGCTGGCTGCACGCATCTTAAGCAGCTACTGATATACTGAGTGGACCCTAGAGCCTTCTGGAGATAGCGATAAAGGAGAAAATGCAAGCTATCATTTTAAAGAAGCTAGCCCAGGCGTGAGGGGAAAAAAAAAAAAAAGGCTGCATTTTATGCTTCTGTGCTGGATATTTGCAGCTTATGAGCGGTGCAAGCAGATATCATACTAACCAGGGCATCAGGGCATGCTGAATTCTTGCCTCTTATGCTGCTATTAATAATTGTACACCACACTATTAAAAAAAAAAAACAAACAAAAAAACAAAACACCTGAGAAGAAATCATTTCTTTGGGAAGAGATTGGTCATCTCTGGAAAGGAGCATCATTTTATCACATTGGTTAGCAGCTGTTTCTTAAGAGGCTGTTCTGTTTCCTTGTGACATGACATCCTTTCTTCAGAGAACACTGGTATAGATCAAGGATTTCATGAACAAGTGATGAACCATTGTAAAGAAAACAGGTAGTGAACACATCGGCATCATACAAGCTCTGTGAGTCAGCTAAATCAAATCTTGAGTAGCAGTAAAACCACTGGGGAAAGTCACAAGGAAGCAGGCACAGTTCTAGAGTTTTTTATGCCTACATAGATAAATGTTTGTATTAATAGTCATCAAGTGTGTATGAATAATTATTTACATGCAACTACTTGCACGAGAAGCTACAAAATCGTGTGCAGTTCTGAGTCCTTGAAAACAATCTGTGGCTTTATTGCTATAGACAATGAAGAAATGAAGCTGCACACACCATGATTCGATCTTCGGGAATCTCTGCAGAGCCCTCCCTGCATTCCATCTCCATTAGGGTTCCCCTGGCAAACAGCACCTGGTGCTGTCATCCAGCCAACCAGAATCCCCAGGACCCTTTGCAAACTCCGTATTTTGATTCACACACTCCTTCTCAGATCCAAGGCTGAAACATTCCCCTCTGATTCCAACCAACTGAATGCAGGTGCCGCTGGACTAACTTGTTCCCATGGGCACAGATTGAGAGCTGCTGGCTGAGAGCAAGTGCTTGGAGGTTGAATCGAAGCCTTATATTGCTCTGAGACTCATGAGAAGAGGCCCCAGGGGGTCCTGCAATGTATGCTCCAGGAGACACAGTGAGCAGCTGAAAATGGAGGTTTTTAAAAGCATGGTGGGAATTTTCTGCCGTCCTGAATTAACACAAGCTAGAGAAATGAAAACTTGTCCCCTTTGTGCTTCTTGATGAGAAGAAGGCTGTGGAAGATGACAGTAGAACAACCTTTTCCTATCCCTCCCCAACTCCACCAAACCCCAAAGTCAATGTATTTATAGGCTTCTGTGTCCCAGTGAAGTTTCAGCCCATGAATACTCATCTCACACATGCATTTGGTAACATTTTGTTGTGAGTCACAACTTCTATACCTGTGCATGCCCACCTGTGCATGCCCACCTGTGTGTTTAATAGAATACTGTAAATGATGGAATAGAAACTAGATTTAAGATAGTTTCAGTTGAAATTAGGTATTCATAATTTTTTTCTTCTGTAACAAAATTTTCACTCAGTTTTTGCATCTTGGCATATGTTATCACTTTGTTTATAGAAACTCTGGTAGTTCACAGCTTTTCAGATAGCAGCATATTACTTCTAGTTTTGAAATCCCGATGCCTACAAGTCGCATGAAGGATAAGCTCACTACTGAGTCAAACTTTAGCAAATTAAGTTACATATCCTCCTGAAACAGTCGCACATGCAACACTGACATTCACTTTTTGCATTGCCTTATGTTGACAATGTCAGACTGAGCATAAAAAAATCCTTTAATTTGAGCATTATTACATTTTAGCAAAATGAAAAGGATAACTCTCACCCAGCCAACATACTATCTTTGTCCACCACAAGCTAAAATTCTAGAGAGGTAACAGTGTAAGAGCAGTGACTAATAACACAACAAGCATTGGTCATGAGCTACAGTATCTGAAAGTTTGTAGATGGACATGGCTGAGTGTGAAATTTAGCCCCAGAGAAGTCAATATAGATATCTTTCACAGCTTTAATGATGCCAGGGTTTTGCTGGGCTTGTTTACAAAGGTTCTCCTGGGGACTGAGCTATGTAAGTGAGCACACAAGCCTGCAGCTGATCAGCTGCTCCTCGTCTTCTCAGTGCAGAGGGAAAGAGGTTGACTTCTCCCTGAAGATAGTCTGTGTATGTCCATGAGTATGCATTGTGGACTACCTTTATTGCATATGGGGGGGGCATTTCTGGTGCTTTTGTGGCTACTGCCTGTCCCCTCTGCAAGGATAATGCTAGGGGCTCAATGTGATCAGTTCTTTGGCTGTGAAAGGCCTTTCTGTCCATGCTCAGTGCCAGTGCCAGTGTACTTGCACAGGGAAATAAAAGTCAGAGCATAGAAAATTGTAGTAAATAAGACCCTTAACACCTTCCTAGTCAAGCTAGCACATCTTTGTTAACAAAGTCTTTTTTGACCAACAAAGAAATGGTGCAATAATAGACAGACAAATATTTATTATATTGAAAAAAAACCTGAACAGAGTTTGTTAGATTTGTGAACACACTGAGCAAACTTTTCAAAGCTCTAGAATTACAATATGAATGGAGTGTAGCCTACAGGAGTGGTTGCCTAAGGAACAGTCTGCTCACAATCCTTTTCCTGGTAGTGTTCCTTGCTGGTCCCCCTCCCAGGCAAACCTGTAAGGATGCCATGACCCTCAAGAGACTGGATCTTCAGGGATGCTCTGATGTCACATTTGCAGTGACATCTAACCCAAGCCACCGCTATGGGAGCCCCTCCACCAGCAGAGAGCTTCTTCCTGGGTTTGATGCACGTGATTCTTCTTGTTGCATTGATGCCCGTAATAAAGAGAGGACCCACAAGGCTGATGAACACAATGGAGACAAATCTGCCTCCTGTGTCCCTTCTTGACTTAATGTAGGTGGTGCTGCCACTTCCCATTTTGCACTGCACTTGCTGTGGCATAAGGCAAGGGAAGCAGAATGTCCCTTTTAAGCTCAAACTTCATTTCTGAAGATTCAAACCAAGAGAACTCAAGAACCTGCAGGCTTTTGAAAACTCCAAGAGATAACACCTTGCTCTTCTAGGAATCAAAACACTCTTAGAAAATCTTCACTAAATGACTTGTCTATGTGACGCAGGCAATCTGGTTGGGCAGAGGACTGAGCTTTTGTCCTGAGAATAACTTGCTGGCCATGGGGCCCTCCTATCTGTCTGCAAAAGTCTTTGTGACCTCATCCTTCCTCAAATAAAGAAGCCATAGGCAGTCCTGGAGCTTGGGCACATACCTGTTCTGATACACTCTCAATACCTCTCTACTCACTGGCCAACTTGAGTTACAGCTGTTGGGCATAGGTGCCCATGATATATGTGTTTGTGGGAGTAGGAAGTCAAGCAAAAGCTGTCTCTTTTCAGTGTCCCATGTTATTACACACAAAGAACCAGAGAAGATGTAAAGGCAGGTTTTAGTGAGTCCACTGATCACAGAATTATTTAGTTTGGATGTTTACTTCTTTCCTTATCTTCGTCATGGAAAATAATTCATATTTATAACCTTATATTGCTCTTCAAAGCATATCATATTGTGGTGTTTCACTGACCTTCTTTACAACACTAGACTGGAAAAGCAGAGGTATTTTGTTTGCTGAATCAAAAGCCAATGGCAGTTCTGATTTTGCACTTAAAAGAAATGGAGATGTAACAACACTTATTTTGCAAACCCAGCTTTTACATATTCTCTGTCTGCCTCAGAGTGCATGGACTACATTCAAACAAACAGAACTAAGATGCCCCTGATGCACTGCCATTAAAATGTCAGTGAATTAATTTGTGCAAACACTTTAAAACATGGGGTAGCTTGACAGTAAAATAAATGCATCATTTTATAAAGCATACTGCTAGATGTAACAAACCTTTAACTAAAATTGAGTGCTATTTAAACATGCCAAACCTTGTCCTTAACCACATTTCATATTTTCCTATCAGCCTGGCAGCGTAAATATACCTTTCAGGAGTGTAAACTGAAAAGCCATCAAGTTTAACATATCAAGATGGTGTGTTTAAAAGTTCAGACTAGAAACAATCTCATAACCATTTCAATTATCTTCTTCAATTAACTTCTCCCATGATGTACACTTTGTCACGTGGGGTACCCTCTGACATTCTTTGTGTGCTCGTTCACGCAACCAGCAGATCAGAACAAGCACTCACATGCTTGAAACTTGAAAGTTTAATGAAAAAATATTTCCTCAGGCTTTTCCCCAAGTAATGTGATGCGAGACTGCCATGTAGTGGGTATGCATGAGCTCCCGTTGTCCAGATAACAGGATTAGGACTATCTTATTAGCTGTGGTACCTGAACTAATTCCCTACATGTTTTCTATCTGTCATGTGGAAGTCACTGGCCAAGAATTAGCTCAGCCTAGCTCTTCCAGCCAGACTTTTATTTTCCCTCTGTTGACTGGTATGGACAATCAAAACATTGCATATGTTTGCAAATTTTATTCAGGACACTCATTGCAGAAGAAGGCCAAACAACTAGAAAACACAAAGATACTCTCTTGTAGAGCTGAGTGAAGGAGGTCAGGGAGAAGTCAAGGAGGTCAGGGAGAAGTCAAGAAGGTCAGGGAAGGAAGCTGGTTAGCTGTAAGTAGACATGGTCAGCCACTGAAAGTTTAATATCAAGCTCAAAGATACCATGCAAGAGAAGCAAACTGGGGATGTTTCCTTTCATTAAGCATTCCACTAGGGAAAGTATTCTCGCCACAGATAAATGTGCTTTAATGGAGTTTGTGCTACTGCAACAATATTGTAAAGGATTCAGAAATGGATAGGGTTGAAAACCACTAGCTCACTAAATTGACACTGAAACAGAAAGACTTTCACATCTAAACCACCACCTCTAATCTATCCTGTTTCATTAAGGATGCACAAAGCTTTTCAGCCTCCTGGCTATTTGTGACTTCTGAACCCATGAAAATGTGCTGCACCCACAATGTAGAGCAGATACAGGGCAGGCAGGATGCCCAAAGTCCCAAGACAAGGACAGCTACACTATGATGCTTAAGTATTTATTCTGTGGAAAAGGAGATGAGGCTGGAGATGTTTCACTGAAAAGGAGACTCAAAACTTGTCCCAGACAGGCCTATATGAAATGGGAAATGTGCGCCTAATCTGGCTCTTGTTTAGGGAAGTACCGGATCTGTTCTGGTCCCATAAGCTCACACCATTGATACCTTGGAGTCGCTTTCCTTATGCCACTGAACACCCATGTAGCTCTTAGGATGCCATTTTTCCCAATATCTCAATATGGGCCTTCAATCATTCAGAGGACTTTTATACTGTCTTTTGGTGGGAGCCTATACAAACTGCCTCTTGAAAATCCCCATCCAAACCTCAGTAGTGTAAAATGCTCAGAATAATTAATGGGAGACAATCTGTTGCAGAATCTCAATCTAAATGCAGTACCATAAAGGGTCTCAGCATAGCTGCCTGCCCTTGAGAAAGGGGCAAGGAGAAGGCAGCACTGACAAAATAGTTAAGGCCTCCCTGAGAAGTGGCAGCTTTCCAGAACACACTGTGTTCACATCCAAGGGTTAGGCTTCACTGCTAGGAAGTGCTCAGAAAATGCTGCTGGCTCCCGCTCATTCAGGTTGTGTCACAGAGGATGATCCTGTCCCTCTAATCTTTGTGAGATGGGGACTGCTGCAGGCCTTCTCCAGCAGGTGTGCAATCACATAACAGGTCTGTAGGGAACTGGTTACTCTGCACAACCACTAAACAAGCAGATGAGGTCTATCAATATCTACATCTATCAATATAATGCATATTCCTTAACTGAGTATCTGATAAAGAAAGGTGGCCTGTCACAGTACAATATTAAGCTTCCTCTCCCCCACCACTACAATGTGGAATACATTTTTTCTAGAACTTTGAGCCAAGAGTTTTTCAGGCTTGCAACTCATTAAACATCTCCCCACCTCCTTTCCTTGTAACAGACTCATTTTTGTGCCTTGAAGAGAAATGCAGAATGAAATACAACAAATAAATAAACAAACATTTTTTGATCATGACTCATCAAAATGATGGTATAAAGGAAAAATTAATCTTAAGGAAAGGATAAGTTTTGAATTCACACAGACTAACCTCTTGCTGTTGGCAGTCTGAACCTTCTTCCCAGTCTTAGAGCTTTCCGACAGCAGGCTTTGAGCCAAGCAAACTGCAGTGCTTTAGTGGTGTCAAATCCTGACCTGAGAGTTGGTCAGAGGGTGACATTTGCACTTCTACCACTCAGTAGCCACAGCAACAATGAAAGACAAGGATGGTGTCAGGCTGGAAGCATTCAGAAGTTTTTCCCTTTTTTCAGCAGTTTTTCCAGAGGCCATGGCAAAGGCAGTACGTAGTTTCTTAAGGTGTTTGCTGCAGGCCTGCCTTTCTCCCCATGTAAGGTGGGAAGGGAGTGGTATTGGCATTTGATTGCTTTGGGTTCTTGCTGTCAGAAAGCTGGAGGATTTTGCTGTGCTCTCGTGCCACCCTTGCACTCGGTGGTAGCGTAGGATGCCATGCTGCCTGGGATTTGGGCAAGCACCCCAAGCAAGCAGAGGTGAGGGCACAGGGCAGAGCAAAATGTGTATTGGCTTTTTTGTGCGCATGTTCTCTTCACAGCTTATCTATTTTATCTCTGTGTTCTTGATTTATAGATGAAAATATTTGACAAAAATAAAGATGGACGGCTGGACCTGAATGACCTGGCAAGGTAGGATTTAATAATGTTGATGGGGTTGTCAGCTCATCTCCCTCTGGGGATGTGCATTTGAATTTTGCCTCCTTTCAAATTATATCAGCTCTGATCCTACCTCTCCAAAACATTGTCCCTATTGCAATAGTCTGAGGATCTAGAGCTAGTGACAGGAGCAATGCCAGAACCTGTCTGTACAGCACCACCATGCTACCTCTGTGATGCTTCCCAGGATGTGACAAAAGAACCAATAACATTGTTACTCCAAAAAAGGATGTCAATCCCTTCAGCAGGGTAGCAGATGTGCATTTATTTTACATCATCACATTTTTTTGCTACTTTTTTGAATAATCAAAGTACCACCACAAAGGAGTTTGGCAGTGGCAGTAAGAAAGAATTTGAAGAACCAAGGTGAAGATGCTTGTGAATGAAGTTGGAGACTCAGTCATGGGCCTCTGTCTTTTTTCTGTCCTTGATACTTCACAGAAGCATAGAATCACAGAATCAACCAGGTTGGAAAAGACCTCTGAGATCGAGTCCAAACCCATGGCCCAACACCACCCTGTCAAGTAGACCATGGCACTCAGTGCCACATCCAGTCTCCTCTTAAATACCTCCAGGGACGGTGACTCCACCACCTCCTTAGGCAGCCCATTCCAATGTCTGATCTCTCTCTCTGTAAAGAATTTCTTTCTAATGTCTAACCTCAGCCTCCCCTGGCATACCTTAAAACTGTGCTCTCTTGTCCTACTGCTGGTTGCCTGGGAGAAGAGACCGACCCACACCTCGCTCCAATCTCCTTTCCGGTAGTTGTAGAGAGTGATGAGGTCTCCCAAGGCTTTTAGATGATTTTCATTGCCTACAGACAGAGAGTATGCCTTTCTCTGTAAATGTACGTGCACTGATTAGATAGGACTCCAAATGTGCAGATACAGCCTTAAAACACCAGTTTAGGGGTGAGAGGACAAAGGTGCAGGTTTGCCACTGTTACTTTCTGCTTGGGATCACGACAATTGTGAGCACAAATAATTGCAGTGCATACAGCAATTCCCTTTGACCGTGAAATACATGAGGCAGAATGGAGAATATCTAAAGGGAGTTGCTGTTGCAATTCTCTCTTAAATACAGTTCCCTACTGGGAACCAGGCCATCTGAGGCTCCCTTGTAGTCTGAGCACATTTCTCACACTCCAAATCCCTCCATGTGTGGACACAGCTCAGTGTCCCTGTGCCACTGGCTCTAAAAACCTCAGGTTTAGCAGAGGAGTAGGAGAGAGAAAACAGTTTATCAGTGCTTTAGGAGACAAAGGGAGAGGAAGTCAGCCAGTCTCGGTGCACAGGCCAGTATTACTTCGCCCTTTACTTTTACAGCCACCAATTCTGCCTCCAATAGAGAGCAATAAATGTCTCTTTCCTTTAATGTAGCACAGCAATCCAGTTACGAGGAATGGTTGTCTGGCAGCTCTTGAGTCAGAGGCTGACAACCTTCGTTGCACTGGACCACCAGAATTGCTCTGTGACGAGCAATGGTGCTATGAAGCACATTTGTGGTGAGCCAAAGGGCACCTGCCATGCCCCATCAGACAGGGAGGAGGGTACGTGTTCCCGCATCAGCCCTCTGTAATTTTCTCTTTTATAGGCCTATAATCTAACATCCTTTTGCTTTACAAACAAGGAGAGTTAGGAAGAGTTTGTATGCAGATGATACAGTGGAAAGATTATAATTTAAATCTCTCTGTTCAGGATTCTGGCCCTCCAGGAAAATTTCCTTCTACAATTTAAAATGGATGTAAGTAGCACTGTTTTTTTGATATCTTGATTCTGTTTCTCTCAGCTAAGATAATCTGGGCCCAAACTTGATTTTTTTTTCTTAAATTTTTCATTTACTTGTCCTCTCTACATACAGGCTTGCAGCACAGAAGAAAGGAGGAGAGATTTTGAGAAGATCTTTGCACACTATGATGTTGTGAGTCCCGTGAGGCCATTCAATCCCTTGCATATGCTGCTCATGTTTCTTCTTTCTGCTGGGTGTTGTTGGGGTCACTCAGGACCAGCAGCTGTGCTTGAGCCCATGGTCTATGAGCCTGGATATCAGACTGGGAGGGGTAAAGTAGGGACAGACGGGTGTGATGCTCAGAGATCTCGTGGCAAAGACCCATTTTGACTTCCTCCATTGCCACGGCCATTGCTGCTGCATTAGCAGTATCCCTGAAGGAGATGCAGAGAAGGTGGTGGCTTTAGCGCTCACAGTCTTTGATTGTTGGGATCTGCATCACCACTGCCTTGAAAAATAAAACCCCTTCCAGTACTGAAATAATGATTATTTAGGGAGTCTGGCCCATGACAGACATTACCATCTATCTGCCTGTTAGACATCAATAATTCTGTGCCACTTCTGAGAGTCACACAGTTCCCTCGGAGTGGTGACCAGTAAGCCTCACAAAATGGTGGGAGATATTGTTCCCATTGGAGGGGAAGAGATTGTTTGAGAAAATGGAAGGTATCTTGAATATTAGGAAGAAATTCTTTACTGTGAGTGTAGTGAGGCACTGGAACAGGTTGCCCAGGGAAACTGTGGATTTCCCATTCCTGTAAGTCTTCAAGGCCAGGTTGGATGGGGCTCTGAGCAACCCAGCCTGGTCTAGTGGAAGGTACCCACGTTCATGGTGGGGTGGTTGGAACTGGATGATCTTAAAGGTCCCTTCCAATCCAAACTTTTTTGTGGTTCTGTGAACTTTATGCTATAAAGCTTGGTGACTGATTGGATACTTGGTGACTGGTTGGATTTACTGACCAGCAAATATTGTAGTGTTTTTGATTCACTGGGGAGTTTTGCTGTTTATTCCATCTTTCAGAGTAAAACAGGAGCACTTGAAGGCCCTGAAGTGGATGGGTTTGTCAAAGACATGATGGAACTGGTCAAGGTATCTACATGGCTCTGTTTGAATAATACTCTGTATTTCTGAAAGATCAGGGCTGGTTTTGGAAATGTTATGTACATAGAGAGACTAGTAAGACAACAGAGTGAAATTTCACTTTGATTATCACCAAAAGGGAATGCGACCATCTCAGCACAAACTGTTGGCATAGATCAATCATTAGAATTTCTTTCTCCTGTTTCCCATGAGGATGTGGTTCTCACCAGAATGACCTCATGGTTCACTAGGTTATCTCAGGACTACATTTGAAAACTACTTGAGGTCTATCTCTAATTGACAATACTGTACCCAGTGTGTCACTTCTATTCCTGATGGATAGTGGAGTCTGTCTGGACTGGATTATCTTGAGTTTCCAGATGCAGACCAAGATAGAGGTTTTGACACAGAGTCTAGTCTTTGGCTTCCTCTGAGCCTGAGCTGTTGCATTTCCCCACAGTGTGACCTGGCACAGAGATATCAGCACTCCCATGTCTGTTCAGCAGAGACCAGAGAACGGCAGCTACATGCTGACAGCTGCAGGTGTATGTTATGGCCATGGAGTGTGCAGGGAAGGGTGTGGGAATCGGTAGGAGGTTGGATTTGTGCTGTGTGTGTGTAAAGGAGGGAAGTTTGTACTTTCCCTAAGGGCCTTCATCAGCATTGTCCTTGGACATCACAAGCCATGCATGTGAATTTTAGCCCCTCCCAAAGAAGCAGGAAGCAGAGCAAGCAGTACAGCTCAGCATACAGAGGCAGTGTAGCCTGTAAAACGTGTCTTCAGCAGCAGTTTGATCCACAAAAGGTATTTTTACATTGCTGAGTAGCCTGTAAAATAGGAGTCTGCTAACAGAAATGCCACATCACTCCTTGCACCGCAGGATTGAGAGAGGAAACCAGATGAAAGCAGAGGTCTGGTAGTGCAGCTATCTGCACTGCACACCTTTTTGCAGACTTTTCTTTAATATAGATCAGATCCTGATGTCCTTCACTAAGCACAAAAGTCAAGGTGCTGTTTCTGTAGAGTTATTCACAGTCCCACGCTCCTTCTGCTTTTGCAGGGTGCCCTTTCCCAATCCTCTGTTTGCCTCTCCGCTGCACACGAGCTTATGTGGGGCCTTTTGGTCAGTCCTCCTTGGATGGATTGTTGCTGTATGACCTGCTGCTTTACAAAGCTGGGAGAATCCTGAGTAATTTTCTCTCTCAGCACTGTTTTTCTCTTTTGCCTGCAGCCCAGCATTAGCGGGGTGGACCTGGACAAGTTCCGCCAGATCCTGCTCAACCACTGCGATGTGAACAAGGATGGGAAAATTCAGAAATCTGAACTAGCTTTGTGTCTTGGGCTGAAAATCAACCCATAGCTGGGAAAGTGCTCGTGGTTGTGTTTCCCTTGTAAGATTTGGCTGCTGCTCCTTGTAGAAGTGTGTCTGTGCTGCTGTGTGAGCAGTAGGGAGCCATGGCACCGTGCTGCTGGGCTGAAGAGTAGGATTTACATGGGGGCTTCCTCACTCCACCAACTCCTTTGTGGTTTTCACTCAATGCTGCCACTTGTGGGTCCCCTTAGCAATGTCTCTGCCCACCATCAGACCAGTTGCTCAGAAAGCTGTTCTTCTTCTGCCCTTATAAAACACTGCCCTGCCCATTCCCAGCATCTCCTCCAAAATGTCCCATCATTGCTCCCAGTGTGCAGTTAAGTGATGCTTCTGTTGGTTGCCTTATATGTGTGAAACTATTAGTTGAGTGAGTCTTGTGCTTTGTGCATTTAAAATATTGGATGGATGACAGTGTATTTGTGCAAAAATAAAATGGCAATTGCAGAAGTTCAGTAAGACTGAAGTTTATGTGTTACGTACAGAAAGCCATCTGCTGCAGGCTGGCAGCCTTTTGTGTAAAATGCACCAAACGGCAAGATGTTTTGGGATCCTTATGAACTGTGGTGTTTAAATCCATCAGACAATGAAACATGGTAGATCCTTCCCAAGGGGAAACTACACACATTAGATAATAATGTGACCTTCAGGATGAAGCCACTGAGTAACGTCACTTCTGGAGGACACTTCTGACCCAAACTGAAATAACATAAAAGGTTTCTGTAAACTGGAAAATAGGAAGGACAGAAGCCTAATGAGAACAAAGGTCCTGCACATGCTTGGTGTGATTTTAAATCTGTAAGAGTTAGCAGATACTTGTAACCTTTATTAAAGTTAAAACTTCCCATCACTCCTGGGCCAGAAGTGTAATCCTGGAGCCTGATGGCAACAGTATCATTTATGCCACATATTTCTCTTTTCCAAAGCCTTTGGGTAAATATTCAGAAAGTGCCACATCTACACTGTCATGCCCAAATAATTATTTCTTCATTTCCTAAGAGAAAGTTGATGAGAAAGGGTTGTTTTCAAAACTCCCTCTCATTTCACCTTTTCTGTTTTCTCCAGATGACAGTCACAGACTTGACACAAGGGTCTTTCCATTTATGTTTTCTGCACTAGGCAGCGCCATGAAACTCCTGCTCCCTTTATATTCAGTTTTATAAAATTAATCAGAATTTACCTTCAGTCAACATGAATAGAGATGCAAACACTGATTACAAATAGCCCTTAAGAACCTACTCAAATTAAGGCATCTGCTTATTTTCTATTTTCATTGGTGATAAGCTCACAAACTGAACAAGTGCTAAGTAGTGTTTAGCCCCAGCACAGAACTAGGGCTCTAAACTCTGAAACTACTCTTTATCACACTGGCAGTAACAGAAATCACAAACATAATAACAGAGCTTTACAATGGTTCAAAAAAAGATAAACAAGGAATCAAGCCTCAGCAGCAGCTCCCTAAACCAGCAGGAATGCAGTTTTACTGACAGATGCTCACACCCCTCCAAGGGAAGAGCTGTGGTCAGGGATAAGAAACCAGCAGATAAATCCCAGGCACTGCTGTTTACCACACATGCTTTATCATTATCTTTGAACAAATTGTAACAAATTTAGCAGGGTACAACACCAACCATTGTTTTATTGTATCTCAAATAGAACATACTGATCAGCATAAACAGTTATACCTTTAAATATATTTTTTTGTTTCTCTTTCTTTCTTCAGTCTTTAATTCTCATTGTTATTATTATTTTCCTAACTACAGTTATTATTATTTTGGACATGGGAGCAATTTCTGTACCATTCCCTACAATATATTTCCACAGATAGATGTAGGATCTTTTCACTATTTGTACTTCTCAGTGTTGGTACGTCTATTCTGTTTCACCTCTGTCTAATCTCATATCAGTAGAACTTTTTCTTATTTATTAAAGTATAAATTCATCCATATCCTGTCCTGCCTCACCAAATAAATGACAACTTTTAGTCTAAAGTGAAAATTATTTTTTAGAGACTGGATACAACCACAGCTCTCATTTCAAGACTTATACAACACTTCTTCTTTATTGAAACCGTATGCTTTTTACATCCTCTACAGCCAACAGACACTGAGCAGTAATGAATTTGATATGTCAGTGTCACAATGTATGCTTCTTTTGGACAAATCTGGGATTTATTTTTTTTTAAATACTGATTTTTGCCAAAGCCTTCACACAGCTAGTTTTATTAGCTTTATATAAGTGAGTTTATAGCCTCCAGAAAATGAGTGTAGAAGAGCATTTTACAAAACACAAGCAAAAAGTAATTGGGGATCACAGATTAAAACATTATATAGAGAACTCAGATATTTGGGGGGTTATGATTTTTTTTAAAGTTAGTTAGTTTTCCATTGCCATGAGAGTTGGTTTTCTCTGTCCAGAGAAGAAAGCAAAGAGTGGGAAAACAAGGTGTACACACTGTCTTAGTTGCAGGAACCAAAAGGGAGTGCCAGTAACTAGAATTTGAAAACAAAAAGTGAGTGAAAATGTTTATAAAGATAATTTTCCCATGGTATTTTCATGTATTTCTTTAGAAAATTGAAGTTAAGGAATTCACAGCTTTCTATTACTTTATAGTATGCAAATCTACTGAAATGAAATTTTTTTTCATGATTCATAGGTGCATTTCTAAAGCACATGTAGCAACCACAGGTGCAGTGGTCAATATGTACTCCCAAATGTGCCTTTTTATGGTTGGTTTACTTCCTTTGTTTGTTTAAGTAGCAAACTACTGGCTCTGGAAATCAGTGTGTGAATTTCCTCAGAGAAAAGCTGTTTCTTTGCTCCCCTTTTCACTGTGTGTTGTATGAGATCATGCCTTGCACTCCTCTCATGCTTGTCTTGGCCCTTCTTATTTCTGGTACTTGATACATTTTTTTTTCTGGGTAACTTGCCATGACAACCTCATTCAAGAGAAGCTGACTGACATCTTCAGACTGTGCAGAACTGGTAACCATCTCTTGTTTTAACTTCACTGGCTTTGCTAAAAATGACAGTATAAAACCAATCTTTTCTCCCATCATTTTGAAACTAACACACTTTGCTCGTACCAAGCCATCACCGAGGGGCGCTGCTACTGGAGGCCTCCATTTTCCTGAGTCACCTTTACAGTTCCAAATTGCTCACATGCCAGTTGTCCCTTGTGTGTGCAATTTTTTCCCCCAAGACAGTGAATCCATACATATATGCTCACCTCATTCCCCAGTCTGAACACATTTCAGCAATCTCATGTCACTGACACACAGACTGGAACCAGATGAGATGACTAGAAATGGCAACATTTAAGTTTCATTGGTGCTTTGCTTTCAGATTTTTAGTTAAATAATTATGTCCCTTTTTTCTCACAATATTACTTTAAGTAACATGGGTGAAAAGGCCTGCACATCTTACAAGAAATTATTTTTATTCCAACTGGAAGCTAGGAATTGAGCATCAGTTCCAAAGGAAGCATTCAGAGCATGGGAAACCAGAACAGTATTTTGATTAATCTCCTTTTCTATTTGTGTGGTAAGACAATACTGTCAATATTAATGAAAACAATTGTGACTAATGCAGCCAACAAGACTAACAGAGAATCATCTGCCACATTGTAATAGGAGCCCATCACTAGAAACACCTTAATTACAGCTATTATCTCTTGAAATGGCTGGGTAACTCTTACAGTAATCTGATTTGAAATAGAAAGTTGCCATTATGTAGTGAGATGTTAAAGGGGGCTTTGCTGTGTAATTACATGGGGTAAAGTAAGTATGAAAGACATTTTTGTATGAAGGCTACACTGATTGCTAAGGAAAAGCTCTCAGTTTCTGGCACCTGTATTTTCAGTAATTCCATGGAGAATTGAGTCTCCTTTTAAGTAACTTTTTCACATGGGAGGAGGGGGAGAAAAGTGTGCCAGTTATGACCACCACAAGAGAAAATAGGGGAATCATTTGCCTAATACCAAGAGACATCTTGACAGGGAGCTCCGAGTCCCAGAGGTAAAACCATTTCACTGCCCTCTCCTGCTTAGCTGGCAATAACTGATTTTCACAAGCTCATCCCATGGTAAAGCATCCTACTGCCTGCCTGCCATGTACTTAGCCTTTACAATGGCTTCAGGCATTGCACTTTCACTTGAGTTTGTTCCTTCAAAGTTGCTGTGGTCCATAAAAAAACACCCTACAGGTGTGCTGGGCACTTTGCACAGGTGATGAGAGAACCAGAGAGGATGTCTCTGCCCAATAAAAAAATGTTTGGTACAATGGCACGCACAGCACAGGCGAACGTTCGTGCTGCATCTCTGACATCATCTGGCATCTCTTTAGATCGGCTGTTTCAGGAAAAAATTAATTTGAGTGGATTTGATGGAGGCACCACAGCCTACAAGAGCTAGTATTACTAAGCAACATGGCTGGAGAATGGGCATCTGCCCCAGTCTGAAAGATGTGGTTTGGGGTCCCTGCTCTCTCCAGCATCGTGGCTCTGAATCTGAAATGATTTCAAACTGCTCAGTCTCACCAAGGGAAAGTTTTCTGTGCGGGATCATGAGAGCACACAATGGCACATTGAAAATTAGTCATTTTGATTTGGAAGTGTACCTTCAAACGATATATTAACAATAATACCCATCACATTCTCAGATAAAGGAGAGCTGAAGTTTCAGGTGCCCATGTGCAGTGTGAGGGACTGGATGTGCTGCACTTTATGGTGAACTTGGTCATCCCTTTGAGTTCCTCCTGCTCCAGACTCCAGACCCTGAATTCAAAACCCGGGGAAGGATTACCAGGGGAAATACGGGGAATTTAAGCCCTGAATTAATTTTCTATCCAGCTGCAGCCCTTATACCTGTACAGTAACATTCATACCAAATCTCTGTGGTTCTGTTTTGTAAAGTATTCAACAACAGAATGATATGAGAGATATGGGGCACTGTTGATGTGGTCTGAAGAAACCACTCTCCTTGCATTTCTCTGTGAAGTGGGAGATGAGCTTTAATGACAGAAGCTGCATGAGGCAGCCACAAGGCTTAATTTTCTGCCAGCAAGCAGAGCCCCCTTGGTTCCAGTGGAGCAAGATCAGCTAAGAATGGCATGACAAATAGCTGTGGCTCCTTTTCAGACATATTTTTAAAGCTTTTAAAGCCAGAGGTTCCTAAAATAAGTAGTGCCAGTGCGAGAAAGTGGCAGCATGAGGGCTTGCCTGGGCTGACACTTGAGCCAAACACCTCTAGCTCTGGGGAAGGCTGTTATTAGAACTGTGTCTGCTTTCTATGAATACAGGGCTGTAACACAGTTGTCAAGGGACTTCTTGCAGCTGGTAGAGCTAAGGAGAACATCTTCTCATTTTTTGATTTCTTGCTAAGTGTCATGCAAGATATCACTC